TAATCGGATTTCAAGTCAGCAATTACATTTCAAAGCCTTTCATTCAGCTGCCCTAATGGAGTGAGGGCTTGGAAAATGAATTCAGACGTAAAACTTGACTAGATTTTGCCCTTAATTGGAGAATGACATTTTGGGAGATCAAAGCTAATTTGTCTGCAAAAGTTAGCCCCAGAGACGGGGGAAAGAAGAAAATAATAATGCGGGGAGGATGCAGGTACGTTGGCTGCGTGCACCTGCACAGGAGGCTGGTTGGTACCGCACCACCACTCCTCTGGCAGCAGGAAGGATCTGCTCTCACTGATTCTGTGCCAACCCAGCCGCCCCTGCCTGCTCCTGAGGCCCTTGGGGAGAGCTGGAAAGCAGAGCCTCTTCCCCAGCCCTGCTGTGTCTCAGGGTGAAGCCACAGCCCCCACCGACCCCTGCCTCAAGAATCATGAGCCTGGCTCCTCACACAGCTTTGCTTGGAAACGTGCTGGTGCTGTTGGCTCCTGGTAGGACAGGTGAGAAGGGGCTTGGTGGGTTCAAACCCCTACTCAGGCTCCCCAGCTCCCCCCAAGGGTGGGGTCTCTGTATTTATTTATTCTGCAGTGCACTGTATTCACAGTACATTAAGCATTTCCATTACCTAAAATAATTAGGTGATAGGAAGCGAAGTGCTCCCTCTAATTTGCTGTCCTTAAATAAAATTAATGTTGCTGTGATGTTGGGCCTCGGCCATTTGTCTTTTCCAATTATCCACCCGCCCTTCCATCTATTATCTATTCTGATATACGACTCAATTATTATTTCCTCTGTGCTACGAGCACATGCCACTCCAAGCAGCGTGGGGAGCTGGAGGGGGCCCAACTCAGCCTGTGGACATCCCCCTGCCGCCCCCCAGAACCCAGGGCCAGGCAAAGGGTACAGGCAGGGTGGGCAGCTTGGGCCAGGCAAGGAGGGTCCCGGAGGACCCTGGGTACTTACACAATGGCATCTGTGTCCTGGGCGAGCCGAGGCGACGTGCAGCCCAGGATCTCCCCTGGGGACAATGGCTTGCACTGGGGCACACACACCTTGTACTGGGAGCGCAGCTCCTGTGATGCTGCCTGTGGGGTCAAACAGTCAGTGGGGACAGACTGTGACACAGAACGTGGCTGAGGCTGGTTTTCCCCAAGACCCTTGGGGACACCCTGGCCTTGGCTGTCCCAGCTCCACAGGGCACCAGAGGCAATGGCTGTGCCACCACGCCCCAGCATAGCAGCAGTGGAGGGGAGCAGCACCGGTCTGCTCGGGGCGGTGCCGTCAGTGAGGGTAACGGCCGCGCACAGCCGAGATGCTCAGTGATGCTCAGCCAACGTATCAATTAGAAGACAAGGGAAAACGCTTAACGCTTCGATAGCCCCATGTAGCTCCACAGGGCACCAGAGGCAATGGCTGTGCCACCACGCCCCAGCATAGCAGCAGTGGAGGGGAGCAGCACCGGTCTGCTCGGGGCGGTGCCGTCAGTGAGGGTAACGGCCGCGCACAGCCGAGATGCTCAGTGATGCTCAGCCAACGTATCAATTAGAAGACAAGGGAAAACGCTTAACGCTTCGATAGCCCCATGTTTAGATAGACATGGCTCAAGAGGCTCATTCATCTCCTCCCATCCTGCCCAGCCGGCCATTCAGGGGCAGACAGACAAACCCGCCGGAGCTTCCCCTGCCGCTGCCGGCAGTGCATCAAAATGCCAAGTGCTCCACCGCCTGCCCTGACATTTACAGAGCAGCTCCCGGAGGAGCCAGGGAGGGGTGCCGCCATGAAACATTGATCAGAGTTATTATAAAGTACTTGATCAACATTATGGCAGCCGCATATTATCGCAGCAACCTGTCAGAGGGGAACCGTCATCACCAGCACCCCAGGGCAGCCCCAAAGCCAGGGCAGGAAGGGATTGAGCCAAGGCCAAAGTGGGGGGAGACACAAACTCGGTCCCATGTCCCACATTTCTGAGGGTCCCCATCTCACCTGCACTGTGGAGACAAACTGGATGGTGCTGACGAGGGCCAGGGAGGTGCCTGCTGCGAAGTTGAAGCGAATGGTCTCGAGGAAATGGGACGTGTCGATCTTAATGTCCACGAACACATAGAGCATCTTCAGCCCCTGCGTGGCATCGATGGGAACTGGTGAGAGAAAGAGAGAGGGTGAGAGTGTGGGGTACATCCAGGGCCTCAGTGAGCCCCCGGCTGCTGCTGCCCACATCTGGGGGATAAAGCACGTTGGTGGGGCTCCCTGTGCCCCAACCACCCCAGTGCAGGTAGGTCAGGGTGAGCTGTGCCACCCCTCTGCCCACGCTAGCACCCTGGGCAGGGGGTGCAGATGGGAGCAGCGGAGAGCACCTGCTCATTTCTCTTAGGATAATGGCAGCCTGGGGAATCAATGAACACAAATCTAATTACCCCCGGTGCTAAGAAGCCTGTGTCACCACGATTAAGTGAATAATTAAAGTACACAGAGTCCACATCGATCCACAGCTCCGCGTTCACTTCCCATTTTGGTGCTCTTCACCTGATCACAATTAAGTGCAAATCACTCCCTCCCGCTGGACGTGTGGAGCCAGGAGGGAGGACAAGTGCCTGTGTGCTGTGCGAGGACGCACCCGCCACGGGGCTCCCTGCAAAGGCAGCTGTGCTGAGCCAGTGCCAGGAGCACCGTGGGCAGCCCAAAAGGAGCCCAGCACCCTCTCAGCACCCTATGGGCACCCTGGGGTGCCCTGCAACCCATCCAGCATAGTGCAGGCAGGAACCACAGAGCCATGTGCAGCGGTTGGTGGCAGGGTTGGGGACAAGCAGCCTGGCAGCACCTGCCTGTCCCTCCAGGGAGTGGCTCTAGAAGATGTGACTCCCATCCCCAGGAGCAGCCCGGCTCTTGCATTGGCACACTCCTGAGCACACTGGATGCAGAACCTTCCTCCCCTTCCTGCTGTTCATTCATAGAACAGTAGGCTACAAACCAGGAGTTTTATATTCCCTGTTCCAGCGGTGCCCATAACCCTCCTTCCGTAACAAAGCACCTCGCGCAGAAATTTATCACCGTGAACACTCAAGCCGACATGGCTTTCAGGACACAGTTCTCAACTGGGGAGTCAGTATTTCATACGGAGCCCAACACAATTCTTCAAACCCATTTATACAGCCCCATAAACATCCAGGAGGGCCGCCGGGTGCTCGGGGCAGCAGCGGGGACCCCGGTGCCTGCCGCTCGCCACGGCAATTCTGCCAATCCACCTTAAAACCCAGAGCGTCTTATTGTTATTTTTGGGTTGATTCCATCCTGGGTGGACTTCAAAGTTAGCAGCATCTGGGACAGCAGCGCAGTTTCCATGGCAACTGGATCCAGAGTACCGTCCGCCTGGGGAGCACACAGCCTCCTCCTCCCTTCCCCGCCCAGCCT